CTCGAGCTCCCTACCTTTTAAAGCTATTACATTAACCCTTTCGTTACCGACTACTCCCGAGTGGGCTGGTACGCATATGATGTGAACCTTACCTCTGGGAGAGTATTCAGTTAAAGCTTAGTCTTAGATTTAGTTCTATCGGCTTATATCGCCCTAATTGCCTTCTGGCTATCGGTAAATATATTAAGCGTTGTGGGCGCCATATTATTCTAATCCAATTTACACATTCCGTTAGTGCTCGAACTTCTGCCTGGAAGCTTGTGTTATGATTTGGTAAACGGTAGTATATTCCTGTTTCTGGGCCTTCAATATAGAACACCAGCCCACTTTGTCCTCCAATTCACAGCCATCCGTGTAACAGCGGATTCCTACTAGTATTTGCTCTAATGTTCCGCTTGACCAAGACATTCCGACATCCGATGATTGTGTGATCCGACGTCCGATGATTGTGTATAACCTTCCAATGTGTCCAGTATACATTGATGACGTGTCCTATAACCGTTTTTGGCCAATTCGCCTAAAGTAAAGAGCCGTTCGGCTGTAAGCGCAGCCTCATATCTTAAATATGTTTCAATTGTAGTTTGATATTGCACTTTTATTCCAAAGCAGTCCACCAGATTATTGAAGCATAAGCTAGAATTGGTTTAATTACACTTTTATAAAGCCAATTTGTCATAGTAGGACTAAGACCCTATTTCATGCCTATAGTTCTCATACGTATCGCCCAGCACCGATATGCCTTGTTGATCCTATCCTCTATGTGGTGTCTCCATTTTAATTTCTGGTTGAGGATTACACCTAAGTACTTAACTTTGTCTGTCACTGGTATCTTCTTGCCCAGGAATCAAGGTTCAGTATACGTAGAAATTTTTGTCTTTCTTATGAAAAGACAGATTTCCGTTTTTGCTGGGTTAACATTGAGGCCTCTCGGTTGAGCCCAACTCAAGGCCGTATTCAGAGCCTCCTCAGCTCTTCTACAGAAGTAATTTGGATCCTTTCCCTTTAAAAGTATTACGACATCGTCTGCATAGCAGACAGATCTATGTCCTTTCTCGGAGGCTATTAATCGTGGTAACCCAGAGAAAAGGTGACAAAATGCCACCCTGTGGTATACCGCGAAATACCTTTTTCCTGATACTTATATCGTACATCTGGCAGCTTATCCATCTTTTCCTTAGCATGTGGTTGATCCAGTTACGGAGCACCCGGTCAACATAAAACTGGTCTAGGGATTGGATAAGAGTATCAGTGTGCACGTTATTGAAGGAGCCTTAGATGTCAATGCATACCGCCAGTGTATATAGTTTGCTATCAAAAGATGCACCTATATAGTGGACAACTTCGTTTAAAGCGGTTTCCACCGATCATCCCTTTGCATAAGCATGCTGCTTAAATGTTAGGTCTTTGTCGGGTATACTGCTTTTAACCATACTATCAACTATCCGTTCCAAGGTTTTAAGTAGTGTCGAATAGCTAGGTTTCCCTGGTTTAGGTATAAATATTACCCTTGCATCCTGCCAGTTAATGGGGGTATATGTGAATTTCAAGCATGCAGTGAATATCTGAGAAAGATGTACGGAAACCAGTCCCGCCTCCGTCTGTAAGAGTGCCGGGAAAATGCCATCCGGCCCTGCAGCTTTATAGGGAGCGAAGCTCTTGATTGCCCCTTTAACCATATCAGATGTAATTACAATTTCCTTGTTAGCCTCCCCTTCCTCCAAATATGGTTCATCTATGTTATTCGATATACCGGGTGGGAAATGAGAGTCCATTAGGAGTTTCGTTGTCTCCTCCATATCCTCCAGCTATCTGCCCGTATCATCGACCATAGATTCCGGTTGGACATTAGTTTTGGATAGGAATTTTTTATCTTCGATACGTCATTTACTCTGTCTACCTGTTCACAGGAAAGTTTCCAAGAGTCTCGTTTGGCTTTACGAACAATTTTCTTATATTCACCAAGTTTGCTACGATACTCATCCCAGTATACTGGGATCTTTTTACGCCGTGTCCGGTTAAATAGTTTGCGAAGAGTCTTACCAAGGTTCCGATCTCCCGGTTACCCAGGGTTTCTCCTAGGCAGATCTTCGCTCTCGCAAAGGGCAGCTGTCCTCGAACGATTCAACCAAGGCACTTGTGAGCATTTCTACTTTGGCATCTATGTCTTCTTTATTTCGACATTGAAAAGTGTCCTGACATAAACGGTTCATTAGTAAGGAACCGAATATTGTCCATTTAGTTTTAGACTTATTCCATAAGGTCTTGTTCCCTGCGATTGGTGTTTGTACTACCCCAAGCTACATGGTGGGAGTTGGCATCACAACCTATTACAATTTTCTTATATTTCCTTTGTGCCTCTTCGACCATTTCATCAGCTCCGACGTTGGTGGTACACAGAGGGAAAAAGAAATATACACGCTTGGTACCAAATTGCAAACAATCCGTTGCCAATAGTGAGCTTACCACGTTTGTTAACATTTAGACAACGTATGTGTAAAAAATTTAGATTTCGACAACGAATTGTTGCAATGTTGACAACGTTGCGACATAGTGTTGTCGTACGTATGTATATACTTTGACAACGGTTGTTATTGAAAAATTACAAACTCTTTGGTGCCAATTTGGTACCAAGCGTGTATATTTCTTTTTCCCTCTGTGTAGTGTCGGAGAATCGAAAGGCAGGTAAACAGATGCAAGCTATGTATTGCCACGACCTTGCTTCACCACCGTTGCACCCGATGTGGATAACCCTGTTGAGAGGAGAAAACATAAGATACATGTTCTCGGTCGAGACCCTTTATCAGCGTAGAAAAGTTGGAAATTTACGTGATTTAATCCAGAAACCTTGTTGCGAATCGTAAATTTTGGCAGATGGATTTACCCACTGAAGTGGGTAAATCCATCCCAGTATACTGGGATCTTTTTACGCCGTGTCCGGTTAAATAGTTTGCGAAGAGTCTTACCAAGGTTCCGATCTCCCGGTTACCCAGGGTTTCTCCTAGGCAGATCTTCGCTCTCGCAAAGGGCAGCTGTCCTCGAACGATTCAACCAAGGCACTTGTGAGCATTTCTACTTTGGCATCTATGTCTTCTTTATTTCGACATTGAAAAGTGTCCTGACATAAACGGTTCATTAGTAAGGAACCGAATATTGTCCATTTAGTTTTAGACTTATTCCATAAGGTCTTGTTCCCTGCGATTGGTGTTTGTACTACCCCAAGCTACATGGTGGGAGTTGGCATCACAACCTATTACAATTTTCTTATATTTCCTTTGTGCCTCTTCGACCATTTCATCAGCTCCGACGTTGGTGGTACACAGAGGGAAAAAGAAATATACACGCTTGGTACCAAATTGCAAACAATCCGTTGCCAATAGTGAGCTTACCACGTTTGTTAACATTTAGACAACGTATGTGTAAAAAATTTAGATTTCGACAACGAATTGTTGCAATGTTGACAACGTTGCGACATAGTGTTGTCGTACGTATGTATATACTTTGACAACGGTTGTTATTGAAAAATTACAAACTCTTTGGTGCCAATTTGGTACCAAGCGTGTATATTTCTTTTTCCCTCTGTGTAGTGTCGGAGAATCGAAAGGCAGGTAAACAGATGCAAGCTATGTATTGCCACGACCTTGCTTCACCACCGTTGCACCCGATGTGGATAACCCTGTTGAGAGGAGAAAACATAAGATACATGTTCTCGGTCGAGACCCTTTATCAGCGTAGAAAAGTTGGAAATTTACGTGATTTAATCCAGAAACCTTGTTGCGAATCGTAAATTTTGGCAGATGGATTTACCCACTGAAGTGGTGTATTATATAATTAATTTAAATTTGTTTGTAAAAGATTTCATAAAATCGATTTTCCTAGGAAGGTTCATAATAGGATGGCTCCCCTATTAATAAATTTTGATATTTATGTATCGAATAAATAATTACAAATTGAATTTCTGTAAGAGGGGTTATATGGGGGTAGGGTCAATTTTTAAGAGAGATTCCGGTTTGTTTAAAACTTATTTGTGTCGGATTTCACAGCTGTATTTTATGAGGGGCAGACGGCCATAGAGCGATTCTGAGACAAGACGTATAACGGTGTATATGTATATGATAACAGCTTATGAATAACGTAAAAATTATAATACAATTTGTTATCGATGTAATCCATATTGAGATTTAAAAATATTAGTGCAGTGGAAAAATAATGCACTATAGATCGAATATATACAAAAATATTCTTCAACTAAAAATTTCGGAAATTATAAATGTTATCATCTGAAAACCTAGGAATCACAATAACTTAGATATTTGTAAAAAACTTACTTTCGAACCCCAATATCTCGCTTGGCGTAAATGGGATTAATGGTTAAGACCCCAAGAAAAAGCCATTAGGCTATCTGAAATTTACCAGTTTGCTTATTATTTTTGACAAATTTTCCTGGGCTATTCAAGCAAAAATCAGAGATGTTAATTATACTATGAACAAAAATAACTGACATTTTTCGAAGTTTTTTTCTCAAGATATAATCAAAGATTCTTTTAGAGACAATGAAAACTTCAAAATACAATATCGCCTTATGATCTGATCTTTCAAAACGGAGACTCAGGAACTAAGTTTACGCGTCCCAGCGATGCTGATCTCAGTACAATTCGGAGTTTTTTGTCCCATAAGACTCTTTTAGTTTATTTATTCAGTATCCTTCAGTATGGTAACACTAAGTGCCATTCATTTATATGAATATTTTGTTTCCTTTTTATAGTAAATTAAAGTGCTTTTAAAAAGCAATAAACCAAACAATATAAATTAAGTGCTGGCCCTTGTAATAATGCTTTATTATTTTTTTAATAGCTGTTAATAAACAAAATCGACATAAACAATTTTAATAAATCCATTTTTATTTAAATCAAGACAATAAAATCAGCAACCAAGATACTTATCATCTTTTACCTCAGAGGAAAAAACAAAAATCATGAAATAATGGGAAAACATTTACTTTATTTAACAAATTTCAACATGGATTTAATGATGATAATGGAGGTAAGAAACATGATGAGGTGTGCTAATCGATGTCTTAACTAAAGCGGGAGCATGATGGACCACAGCTGCTGGTGCATGATGTACTACTGTTGGGCTATGATGTACTATGGCTGGTGAATGATGATGGGTGGTGGTTGTGGAAATTAAAGCAGGAGCTGATTTAACAATTGCTGCCGATGGTGATGAATGTAAGAAATGTAGAGTTTGAGGAGTTTGATGGTAGACAGTGGGTTGGTGATGATGTACAACAGTAGTAGTGACAGGTTTAGGTGCTATATATTTTGGGGCTTTAGTTACAACTTGTTGTGGCACAACTATTTTAGCAGGTACATTTTCCAAACGCTCCCGACGAACAACAGCTTTAAAACCATTAACAGCATCCGAAGAGTAGTCAACTATACGTTTATAACCATCAGCATCATTAAGGGTGTATTGACCTTGCACATTATCGCCATCACGAGTCTCGGTCTGAGTTTTAACGTCACCAGTTATGGCATCATCCACACTATATTTAAAGTTATAATTGGGATGTGAATCAAAGTTTTCCGGGGAAGCTTCAGGCAAAAGACCAGCACTGACTGCAGCAAGACAGGCGAGGAATGATATAACCTATACAAAAATAAGATATTTATTAAATATTAAAAAATATATATATTTCACAAAATGATTTAAACAATGCCCACTTTAATCTGCATTTTGAATAAAATGTTGAAACTTGTTTGAATGTCGAAGGAATCAACGTTGCAAGTGAACTGTGATCTTGTGTCCTGCAGCACTCCACTTTTATATGAATAAAAATACGCTGCAAGTTTTGCATACTCATTCATTTTATTAAAGATACTTACAATCAGTAATACATATAGTTCATAATTTTAGTTTTGTTGTTGTCTTCTTAAGAGAGTTTCATCAATGACCCACTGCCCTAAACACTCAATTACTAATAAAAACAAAAATATCGTATATAGTATATACATACGGAACAGGTACTTTAGTTTTGCGGCAAGGTCACCATTCATTCTGCATAAACACACATTCTCAATTTACTCATGTTGGATACACAAATCATCATTATCACCACAGCTACCACTATGATTTACTTGACCTTAAAACCGTTTGTTCGTTAATGCATCCATCCAACTAACCAACCAAGAAACCAATCATTAATTTTTGCCTCCGCGAAATGCATCTGTTTTGTGGATTTTGTTTTTTTTTTTCATTATCTGCACAAATTTATATATCTTACCCATGCTAACGAACCTGTTCCTTTCACTGTCAATGATTTTGCAGTCGTAACAATTAGAATTTTAAGCTTTATAAAATGAAACTTGTTTGTGTTTTTCCCACTGAAATTAAAAAAAATATATATATGTATTCTTATATACATACATATATGTATATGTACATAGTTTTTAAGTTTTGAATGCATTTTAACTATATTATACATCCATATGTATAGAAAAGTTCATTATGCAGTTTCAAAAATAAATAAGGGATTTTTTACCATAACACTCCTGATATTTCAATAGCTGGATGCAAAGATAGCAAATAGGTCTATAGAAAAATTTGTTTTTTAAATTGACTGCATCCTGCAATCGTGAGCAAAATACTACTACGGAGGTGGGTACCTGGGCCTCCGTGGCGGACAATGTGTCAAGTGTACAGCAAGCAATGGGCAAAAATATAGGGGTGAAAGAGAAGGATGTACTCGGAGAGAGCCCTAAGCTACCTCAGCTTTTAAACATATGTGAAGGTTCCGACTCTGAATCCTCAGATGATAATAACAACACCATTGAAATAGAGCAAATGGTGAAAGAAGTAAGTGATAGCATAGCTAAACTACTGATATTTTGCGCAAAATATATAAATAGGTACTACGCCCAAATACAGAATACGCAAATATGTATGAGAAACTTCAGCAGTTAGAGTCCTAAAATTTTGTATTGACAACTTTGACATCTACAAAAGTAAAATTAAACTAAAATCGAAAATGTTTGCCTGCCTAACTAGTACTAAATACTTTTATGAAAATGATTACGCACCAAAAAAACACTCATCAAAAAAAATTTTAATTCTCAATACATATTTATTTGTGAATACAATAAAATATCAATGTTAAAAGAAAATAATCAAACAAATTTAATTGTAATTGTTAATAACCACATTTTAATAACGTAATTATATTTGAATTTTTTTTAAACAGCCTTTGAGGCGCCATATTTTTTAACTAAATACCACTACCAAAAATACATATTTACAATTTCAGTAATTTTACTAAGTATCAGCAAAAATCCGTTTTTTTCATGTATAACAGCAAAATGTTCCCCATAAGAAATGTAAATGTTTGTTTGTCAAACTTACTGGGCCGCGTAAAATTCTCTAACTACACATTAAAAACTACTCTTTCATATACTATTATGTTTATGCCTAAAAGTATGCTAATTTAATACTATGCTTACCTTTGCTTTGTTAACAGTTTTATGTTACAGTTTAATTAACAGAAAAGTGTGTTACAGTTTTAGGTAAGAGGAATGTATTAAACAGATGTGTTTTTAACAGATAAACTATTTTTATTCAACAAACAAGAAACTAATTTTTATTCAACAGCTGGAAAAAGAGGCGATAAAGAGGCCTTCTTAAAGGCATATTAAACGGTTTTTAGTTGAAGGCCTATTAAAAGATCTTTCGATGAAGGCTTATAAGAACACCTATAACGTAATTTATATAAGATTATTATAAAAGTTTTAGGGACTTATTCATAAGATTTTATGAAGGTTTTATAAAACAAATTTTCACATAGAATTTGATATATAAATTCTTTTCTTATCAATAATAAAATATAATTACCTATGCCGACATTCTACAAAGAAGATATTATTAATAAAGTCAACACTAATTATAATAATTTATACCCTCCCCACTATCAGTGGTGATAGAGGATATATATAAGTTTGTCATTCCATGTGTAACTCCAAGAAATATTCATCTTAAACCCAACAAAGTATTCTGGGTCCTTGTGAAATTCTGAGTCGATTTAGCTATGTCCGTCTGTCTGTGTAAAACATGCTAAGCAGTTTGATATTGAAAATCAGCAAAATCGGTTCACGACGTAAAAAGTTATGAATAAAAATTTCAGACTGCATCAAAAAAATAACGTTTTGTTCCCAATTCTTGAGTAGTTTTCTCAGAAACTACCAAAAATAATTCGATGAATTTTGTCACACATTATTTTTTTCTTCCAGGGATCAAGTATGTTCAAATTCATAACAATTGATCCAATATTTCCCATAACCCCCATACAAAGGTACATATATATTCCGGGAAATTGGTTTATCATTAATAACTCCCTCAAATATATCGGTATCAACACATGCAAATATAAGATGAACAAAAATCATACTACCAACGTAGATCTCAGTCGGTCCACAATTGGTTATAGCTCTCATATAAGGTCCACATCCGAAAATCACCTAAACGCACATATTTCATTGATATATAAAGCTATTATGGTAATTCGAGTTGAATATGTTTTGTGTACATACAAATCATTATACCGAATTTTTTTTTCAGATAGGCCAACTTCCGAAAATCACTTAAACGCATAAATTTCATTGAATTCTAAAGCTATAGAGATAAAATTCGAATTGAATATGTTTTGTGTACATATAAATCATTCTAGCACCCATGTAAGGCCTACTGCCGAAAATCACATAAAAATCTTGATAAAATTCGACACAAACATCTATATATGAATCACCATATATCTATATATGAATCGCTCGAATCGAATCGAAATTTTTTCCGGATAGGCCCGTAATTGGTCATAGCGCCCATATCCGAAAATCACTTAAACGCACATATATCTTAGAATAATAAAGCTATCGGGATAAAGTACGATTTGAATTTTAACAAATTTTTTCCGGATCAGTCCATAATTGGTAATAGCTCCCATGTAAGGTTCACTTCAAAAAACCGCTTAAACGCACATATTTCATTATCAAATAAAGCTATCTTGATAAAATTCGACACAAATATGTTTTGTGTACATATGAATCACTCTACGAAATATTTCCGGATAGGCCCGTAATTGGTCATAGCTCCTATATACATATATAAAATCCACTTCCGAAAATCACTTAAGCGCACATATTTCATTAAATAATAAATCTATTGAAGTAAAATTCTACTTGATTTCCATAATCGGTTACAAATCCCACATAAAAACCATTTCCGAAAATTACTTAAATGCACATTGACAATCAATGTTATCGGGATAAAATTCATCATGAATGTATATTTTGTATATATAAATCATTATACGGAATTTTTTTCCGGATCGGTCCATAAGTTGTCTTAACTCCCATATAAGGTTTACTTCTGAAAATCACTTAATACCACTTAATTCGTTATTAAATGATTATATCCGGATAAAATTCATGTCGAATGTTCTGAGTATAGATAACTCATTATATTAAAACATTTTCGAACTGGCCTATTAGTATACATTTTTCGCCATATACATAAATGTTAGTACCCTCAATATGGAAACAAAAATTTTGTCAAGTTATCTAGGGTTTTAATAAAAAGTAGATTGCTGATGGAGGGTATTTAGGATTCGTCATAGCCGAATATAGCACTCTAACTTATTTATTTCTCATTTATGTAAGTGTTTTTCGACACTGAATGATCTGAGGAATTTGTAATAACTTTTACTATTTTTGTGTGTTATATCTTATTGGAACGATAATTGAATACATAAATACATATATATAATCCAATTATTTGCTATTACAATCCAAAAATATAAATCAAGTGCCAAATTTTTGCAAAACCTATTTTCTGCTTCAGAGCCGTGGCACCACCAGTTAACGTAGTCCTATCGCCTGAAATTTTCCAGAATACATTTCTGTAACTCAAAGTTTAAGTCTAGAGGCAGAGACGGTCAATATTCGCAACTTCTGTAAAATTAAAGAATATAATATTTGAGAAACAAGTATACAGTCACGCGACTAAAATATCAAAATGTTCGCAAGGTAATCATCACTTTAGTGTCCCCTTTGTAAGCGAGAGAGTGGACACATGAAAAACAATCTTAAGCTTTTTGTCTATCTCTTCGTAATCTATGGGGTGACGATTGACTTCCTCGTAGGACAAGCACATGTTAAAATCTGGGCAGTCGGTGGCTAGGGGTAACTCTAAGTGGTAGGTTAAATACGTAGTAATTATCATTTAATAATATTGCAAATTGCATCCTGGGAAAAAAACATTTCCAAACTTAAAAACGGTGCAAAATTAAATCAAAAATATGTTTGCTGATTGAAATGAAATTTACATACATACACATATAATTATAAAGAACGGTTGGGATTCAACTAAATTACTGACTTACTTTAAAAATCGATGTCTTCCTATTTGGATTAAATTTGCACCAAGATTAGTACTCTATCGTTCAAGAACTGCCGGAGTCAGAGGTGATCAAAGTTGGACATTTTGGTTACAGGGTTTTATTCAAATGAGTGTAACTTTTCACCTATTGGTCCTAGCAAAAATTGTCCAAAGGATTTTAGATAGCAATTTCTTCATTCTTTTCAATTTTTTTTAATTTTTAAAATTTTTTTAAATATTTATTTTTAATTTTGTTTCCCCTATTTTTCCAAAATGGAAGTTTTTGTTGAATTATTTTTTACCCAAAAGAAGATTAGACCATTTCCTTTAAGAGCTTTGTGGTCACTTAGTGGGATGCAAGTGGCAAGTGAAAAAATACTATTTTAACTCAAAAACTTTGTTTAAAAAACATAAACAAAACATTTTTTAAAAATATTTTTTTAAATGTTTTTTTAACTATTTTTTTAATATTTTTTTAATATTTTTTTTTTTTAATTTATGCAATTTCTTTCTTTCAAAACACATTTTTTTGTAAAGAATGAAATAGCTATCTGAACTCCTTTGGGCAAGTTACACTCATTTGAATAAAACACTGTATGACCAAAATATCCAACTAAGTCCGGCAGTTATTGACCGATAGAGCTGAAAATTTGTGTCTGATCTACTATCCAAGTCGGGTTTCATCATATGAACCAGGCAATATTTACCAGG